TTGTTTTTCCCTTTACAGGGGTAGTTATTGCCTTTTTGTAGGGAAACTTTAGGGGTAGTTAACATTTATTCACCGTTTAATTTTTTTCTTCACGCAAAGCATTGCAATTGCGTTGAATTTCTCTGAGGCGGGAGATGCACTGTGCGTACAAAGTTCCACTTGATCCACAAGGTGGATCCTTGGCAGCCTCTCCCTGATGTCCCATCCTCTCCCTCTCTTCCACCATCGTCGGCAGCCACGGTTTTTTGAGGACCAACGCACTATGAGGGCGGGAGGCTGTTACCTAGCCTCGGCGGCGCGTCACGTTCTGCTGATTTTACAAGAGGAAAAACACTTTATACGAGAGAACGACTCCCCCGCCCGGCAGAGAAGTCTGCACGGCGCAAAACAGCTCAGTGAACCGACTGATATCAGCTCATATGAGCGGGTGGTTTTAGCTCATTGTGGCTGCACCTGCTGGCCCCTTAAAGGGCTCAGAGGTAAATAAAAGATGGGTTGTCGGTTTATTTCCACTCCCACCAGACAATAGAGAGAGAGAGAGAGAGAGAGAGAGAGAGAGAGAGAGAGAGAGAGAGAGAGAGAGAGAGTCTGGCGGACTACACTCAGACTGTACCTCAGCACAAATCTGTACAACAGGCGGCATCACTCCCTTCAAGTGCGGTCACAGGGGTTGTTTCATCCGAGGAGTGAGACACTGCTCCTCCAACACCAGAAGAATTCCAAACATGCGTGAGTCGTGGGGTGTGTGCAGTTCCTGCTGCCGCAACTCAACTCTCCCATATCTCGTCCCCCTCTCTCTGTTCTAGACAGTAGTCAGCAGGTAAGGGGGAGGTGTGTGACCTTGGCAGGCTCCACTGAGAAGACACAAGCCTCCTCTAGCCCAGGTCGGACAGTCGGACTCCAGCCCAGCTGGCCTGTGACCAAGGGGGACTGCTGCATCTCCATGGAGCACAACACCTGAAGATAGTTCACACAGCCCAGGGTCGTAGCCTGTAGCCTGGTCGACGCCACATAATGGTGACCAAACAAACCTTACACTCCATGACATTTATACTCAAACAGGTCCCAAGTAGACAGGACAAATATGACTGTCTCTTCTTGACATATTCAAGGAACACCCCTCTAGGATATAGGAGTTGAACTGCAGCATTTTCTGACTTCATAAATTAACTAAATATTTGTGTTAATTTATGGAGGTTTTTTTTTTTTTTTAAAGGATGAAAAGTACACAGCCCAAAGGGATCACAATAATGGAAGGCAACTACCCGCCCAAAGTTCACCAAACATTAACTTAGTGAGTTGGCGGCTGCAGTTAACCAACCATGCAACCATGCAACAGACATTGTGATCCCAATAGTGGCCACGGCTTTACCTTCAGACCAAGGGCTGGACTGTAATAGGATAAGAGAGGACAGGTGGCTTGCTGATCAGCAGCCATTCTGCCTGGCCGCCTTAGCGCTCTGAGCTGACGCCCACCGTGTGTTTGTGGTGGTGGATGTTCTTTTCACTGCCTGGAACCCCTTGGGCAATGGCACAGCCAAGCACGCAAAAATACAATGGCCTCGGCCCATTAAAAGGCCACCAAGTGAAGGAAGTGTAAGAGAAAAGACGTTGAGAAACCCTGTTTTTTCATGATTACTTTCCTTAAAAGAGTTTGAGTAGTGGGAGTACAGAAGGTTTCCTAATCTCTCTCTCTCAGCCAAAGGAAGTCAGGACATTTAGAAATCAACATATGGCAACGTGACAAAGTCTCTTTCCAAGCCAGAAACCCCATTTCTTTTAAACAAAAAAACCACTAGAACCCCGTCACCAAGAGAGACAATCATTCACATTCACACAGTATTTTAGACGTTTTCAGGCACGGTTTTCTGGTAGTGGACTTCTGGTTGTCCTAACTCAGCCCAAGACAGCCGTACGGGCGTTTCTCTTACCTTGCAGCTGTTTGAACCTCCCCTCCAGGATGTTGGAGTATTGCACCTGATTAACGAACGCCGCTGGAGACAAACATGGCTCCCTGTCTCTCTGCTGTTCCCACTCCATGTCCACTCCGCTTAGCGCTCAGCTCTCTTCTCTGAGAAGTGAGATATATTCCCACTCTTTCACAGCCAACCTGACCAGGGGCTCTCCTGCATAGCACAGTGGAGAGGCAGGCTTTCCAGTAAAAACAGAAGGAAAAAAAAGTAGCGCAAACAAAATACTATGGCCCCCACAAGAGTTTCTGCAAAAAAAGAAAAAGTGTCTTGGTTAAATGGTTGGTTAAATCCAAAATAGAAAAAAGAAATCTTGTGGTCTTCCCTTCAGTATTCCTTCAACGTGAGGCTAAGTAAATAAGGCACAAAGCAGGCAGGGAACGTTGCTCTCCTGTCTCCTTTCTTCACTCCTTTCTCCTGCACCTTTTTCCACGGAAAAGCACGAGGAATCCTTTCAAGGTTTTTTTTTTCTTTTACAAAAAAAAAAACCCACCCCCGAACTACAGTACAAAATGTCCCTCTTGTTTCAGCCCCTTTCCTCTGTACTACATACCACACTATTCACTCCAGGCCTCCTTTGGAGTAAAAGTACAACCCAAAAAGAAAAAAAGAGAAAGAAGAAAAGTTCCTTGGTGCGCTACTTCCTCCTTACTTCAGGCAACGTAGTAGTAGCACGAGCCGCGAGTTTCCCTCCCAAACTCTGAGCATGCACACAGGCTGCTCACACATTGAGCAGAGCACAGGAACCAGCCGCGGTCGGGTCACTGTGTAAACAAAGCCTGTTGCCCTCTGAAGCTGGTGTCATTTGAATAAGGTGTGTTGGAGAGGGAGGAGCGCCGGAGGGAGGGGCGAGGAGAGAGAGAGGACAGGCAGGCAGTGTGGAGGGGGAGGAGACAGGAGGAGGTGTGGTAGGTGTAGAGGTGGACTAAACCCTGCTCCTGATAGGCCGGTTGGACACTAGGGCAGGGGAAAAGGGGATTATGGGCTATCAGGCTTAGATCCGAGGGAAGCGTGGGGGAGGGGGGCGGGGCTTGTCCAGAAGGTATATCGCCTGAGCTCTCTCTCTCTCTCTCTCTCTCTCTCTCTCTCTCTCTCTCTCTCTCTCTCTCTCTCTCTCTCTCTCTCTCTCTCTCTCTCAAACGCTCCTTTCTGCAGCGGTTTCAGAAGGCGTTAAGACAGGAAGGAAGTTGTTGAGAAAGAGTAGGCAGCAGTAACAAGCTCCTTCCTGCCCACACGTGCGTGTGTGTGTGTGTGTGTGTGTGTGTGTGTGTGTGTGTGTGTGTGTGTGTATTGTCCACAGAACTTGTATGTACCCAGTATTTGCAAAACCCTCAAACTTCTGCAATGGATACGTTTTTCTGTAATACTTAATGGTTAGAAAATTGTGGCCAAAACTCATATTAAGGCGTGTTGGGATGTGCAAGTTATGAAATGATTATTTGCCCACCATCATTAAATGTCACCACCACATCGAGAACATGTGGTGATTACAGTGGTTATACTTTTTTCTACAGTTTTTCTAGTGAGACAACAGTACTCAACAGATCCTTCCTCAAGATGGCTCTGCTCAGGTAAGTGCTCAAGTTTAAAAACTACGAAAAAAAGGCGGTACTTGCATTTTGAGCCACAGCTTTCAAATCCAAATCGGCTACTGCTTTCTTGGTCTCTGCTTGCCGAATGCAACTGTGCAAAATTACAAAAATCACTGAAAAAGAAATGTAACTGAGAGATATGAATGACACTAAAAGGCGAGGTAACAGCAGCTGTGGTGAAATGTGCGATTGGCTTGTAAAGGCAAATGGTTTTCAGGGGGTGATCTAGGCCTGTACCAGGGGACGGTCTCCCCGTCGGCCCAGGGGACCAGTCCTGCTGGGTGTTTGATCCATTCCCGAGGAGCTGAGAGCATCTGGATAGACCTCATTAGAAGACCCACTGCCCCCGGGCCGCCAGAGCACAGGGTTTTATAGAGAGAGAGGGTGGTGGTGGTGGTGGGGGTGTCAATGAAGAGAGACCGCTTGCTGATTTTGCCTTGGTGATCAACGGTTGGTAGTCTAAGAAGAATGGCGTGCATTGACCTGTGACCGCCTGTTCCACACGGTAGGGGTGAAACTAGAAGGAGTGTGGAGTGAGGTTTGGTATAAACATCGATTGAAATGGATGTTGCAGATGGTTAGGTTTAGGTTTGAGATAGTTGAGTTCAGGCATTCGGTTAGAGCAGGTTAAGTTTAGGTAAGGGTTTGAGTCCTAAGTTGAGTCCTTAAGATGTCAATGTTTTTAATTTAGCAGGCTACGAAACTGACTGCCAGAAAAATATGAGTTCCCTATGCTTGTTTTTGTTGTTATTTTTAATTGTTTCCTTTGTGTTTTATGTCTGTAACTGTAATGTGTTTTTTTCTTGGCTAGGTCTCCCTTGAAAAAGACACTCATTCTCAATGGGAATCTCCTGGTTAAATAAAGGTTACAAAAATACAAATAAAGTTTAGTTAAGTGTTTGTTGTGGTTAAGGGTAAGGATCTGTGGTGAAGCAGTGCATCAAGGGAGACCACTTATTCATCATTTAAATCCATTCCAACTGCGATGACGCGTGCATATGTCCTTACCTCACAGCTTATATAAAAGTATTTTTTTTGGAGTAGTATAACAATTTCCTTTTCAGCTAAAACAAGTTGCATTCAATGATGTAGAATTTAGGAGCCGAGAGACATGGAAGAGCTAAACAGGAGAGAGAGAGAGAGAGAGAGAGAGAGAGAGAGGAGATATCCATGACTGAGAATGTGGCAGTAAATCACGTCAAACATCACACAACTCCTCTAGAGGGAACCACAGGGAGGCCTACAGGCTGGAGAACGCACACACGCTGCCAGCACATATACATGATATAATCTGGGGGGTTGCTTCCACGCCATGTGGCTGTGTTTCATTTCTCTGGAGGGACGCGATATGAATGTGTATTAACTCCCTACGCTGACTCTTCATGGCCACGGGCTTAGTCCTGCTACTAACTCTTCATGGTCCACAGTGGGGTAGGGATGTCTAGTGGCTAGGGTGTTTGACTCCCAGTCGAAAGGTGGTGGGTTCGATCCCCATGTCCGCAATCTACTTGTATGCATTCTTTAGCAAAATGCTTAACCGCTATCTGCTCATCAATGACCTGTATCTGAATTCACAGTAAGTTGATGATGGGATAAAAGCCTCTGCAATGACTAAATAGTAAAACAGTAACAGTAGATTTTAGATGTTCCTTCTCAGGCTTTCTTTCTGTATCTGGGTTTTAATAAAGTTTGTGAGGAGTTAGAGACCAGCCACCACGGGGTTAGGTGTCATGTATTATGGGCCAGTAAAGGCCTGTGCAATTGCGACAGAGGACTGAATAAATAAACCTGACATGATTTGGGTCTGGGCAGTCGAGTGTAAATGATTAAGCGTGCATGGTGGCGTGCACAGGGCACAGTGGGCAGCATCTGAACCGGCGACTTCAAAGCACAATGACTTTGCGTTTCACAAGGTCAGAACAGACCATGTCCTCATTGATCTATTCAGCCAGTTGCTATATATATACAGTTACAGGGACGAGCTTATTCATGGAGTCTCACGTGAAAGACAGACTCCAAGAACGCTTTCTCTGCAGCATAACAATACAACAGGCCAAACTGTTTATTTCATTTAGATGTTGATTTCCATTGCCGTTACAACCAGTTCAGTTTGGATCAAATCTGGTCTGGATGTAAAATCCTGAATGAACAGAATAGTTTGAATGACCTGTTTATGCGTTGACTACAGAACTAGAGCTTCAGATAACTAAAACGGAACGGAGTGCCAGTATAACTGAACAGAACTACAACTGAACAGAACTACAGTACAACTGAACAGAACTACGACTGAACAGAACTACAGTACAACTGAACAGAACTACGACTGAACAGAACTACAACTGCACAGAACTACAGTACAACTGAACAGAACTACGACTGAACAAAACTACAGTACAACTGAACAGAAATACAGTACAACTGTACAGAACTACAATTGAACAGTGAACTACAGTATTATACGCAGTTTCTTCTAGGGCCCAGGATGTGGCGTTTCCAGCATCAAAGTGGCACCAACTGCTGTATCATTATGGCTCTTCGCTAAATCCATTTAGACTCAGGAGACAAACAGGAGTCTGAGGCTGGGAACCATTTATCGTAGCATAGCATAGCATAACTCACGGGATGGCAGGGAAGGGAGTAGCAGTATTTAGAAATGCGAGAGGTCCTGACATTAGGGTTGTAAACCAGTGTTGGGGAGGAGGGAGGACGGGCCCCTGGGGGACATAGTGCTGCTTCGGCACGTTCAAGAATGTTCCACAATCAAGTCTCTGCTTGTTAGGCCAAGATGGTATCACTGTCATTCACACAGGGGATCTCACACACACACACACACACGATCACACACACACACACACACACACACACACACACACACACACACACACACACACACACACACACACACACACACACACACACACACACACACATACTTCTAAGCACCCGCATCTGAGCTCATGGCAATCTGTTCCAGACTCAAGATGTGGCTCTTAAGGTTCTTGTCAGTTGCACAGTTCACACGTTGTATAATTACATGCGTTAGAGCACACACACACACACACACACACGTGTTGGATATCTGAAAATATGATTCATATAGACTGGTTCGTTTTCCCCGCTAGGAAACACACATTCATGTAATCACATGCATGTCTGCCCCCCTGGGAAACAAACAAACACCAATTAATAAAAAAATAAGCCTGGTAGGAATTTAAAAGTGAGGACTAGAATCATAATGACATGTGTGAACATACACGTCTATCTATCTATCTATCTATCTATCTATCTATCTATCTATCTATCTATCTATCTAGCTAGAGAGAGAGAGAGAGTTACATAGATAGATAGATAGATAGATAGATAGATAGATAGATAGATACATACATACATAGATACATAGATACAAAGATACATAGATACATAGAGAGACAGACAGCAACAGAGAGAGACACAGAGAGACAGAGACTATACCAGATGTTGACTAGCCTGTTGCCGCCCCCTGCTGGGCCAACTGTGGTATTACAACTTGTTCTGAACCAGGAAGATTCCTGGAAAGCTCGGCACAGGTTGTCATAAAATATTCAGTCATGAGAAAGTGCATAAGAGAAAGGTTGCTGTTTGTAAGGATATCCATCTGAATAAAAACAGAGTCTACACTAAACCAATGTGTCCTCAACTTTGTCAAATCCAGTTTAGAGAGTTTATGTTCCTCGCAAGTACAAGTCCAAGTCGATATTCTTACCAAATGGTTGCAGCCTGTAGCATCAAGATGGCATCTTGTTGTAGTAAAATAACTATTACCCCCTTCACTACCTCACCAATTCAGAAAACTATTTCTGAAATGTTCTTGAAAATTAATCATTGATCAGTTCTTTTATCCAACTGTACAGAAGTTTATCTCTGCTATTTGTCCCCAGTATGAAGCAGACGGTTAAGTAAACTTGAATTAAGTAAACTCTAAATTCAATAGCTTGATGAAGAAATATGCAGGTTTATCAATAAAACTATCCTGAGGTTGACCTCTGTGTTCTCTCACAGGCATGGAAATCATGTTTAGCTTATTTCACATACCTCTATTTGATTTAATAGGGCATTTTTCCCAAAGCTCAGGGTACAGCATGTCTGACAAGCATTTTGTGAAGCAATGTCGCCTTGCATTTTGCAATTTCATACCAGTACCAAAAAGGCCCTGAAAGGGATTTCTGGGAGAAACAACTTATTAACTTTCCTAAATGATATGGGACTTCTGCGCCATTAATTCCCTATACTTTCTCCCTATTCCATCACGGCTTATTAACATTGAAGGGACATTATCTTCTTTGTCAGTGAATTAAGGTCTCCCAAACCAAAATATATTCAGAACATAGTTACTGTGAGTACAATTGTAGAAATAGGCCTATCTCGTCTTAATTTTGACTTCTTGTTAAAAGTATATATATTATAATGTGTGACTCAAGCGGAAATGCACAGAAGCAGGCTATGGCAAAACAATTCCATATTTTTGAAAGATTACATCAATTGCTTTTAAATCACTATTGCATTCTTTAAATCCTTATACTCCTGAGCCTTTTTACCTTCCAATCCGACAAAGTCTGCTTCTTTCCAGCAACAGCTTTCCCCATTTCTAAACCTCCTAAACAAGTCAGCAGCCTTATCCCACGCTTCAGCAGCAGTGCCTATAGGGTTGCGTAAGCAGCAGCGATGTACTTAAACGCACCCCATTGAACCCAGTTTGGAAAAAGGCCAGTTATCTCAGCGACCCCTTTATTACTTACACTACATTAGGACATGGCAGTGGCCAATACCTTTGGCCCACTATGGATCCAAAGCCCGGACGTTTAGTCAATACACGGAATCATTAAGTTACGATGCGTCAAGCTTAAAACTTGACGGCAGAATTCATGGCAAATGATCCGAATCCGATCAGAGTGTGTAAAGATTAATTTGTTCCTTAGCAGGAGGGGATTGTAAGAATATATAGATTTGTGTTTTGGAGCCTAAATTGTGAGATTAGACAACATCACAAGAGGTGCAGCTACACAGACCTTTATGGTGATTACTCCATAACATTGGTAATTAACACCCAGCCTCGGTCTAATGGCTGGGCATAAACATTTCTCACCATCATGGGAATAACAACAGGAAGAGTCTGCGAAGTGGACGTAAAGTGTTGTCCACTTAAACAGAGAGTAATTGAAGAGCCACTTTTACAACCCTTTAGATACCAGCAGACAAGTAGCAATTCATGGACAGAGAGAATTTCCCCTGTAAATATTTCCTCAATACCATTCTTCCTCTCTTATAATTTACTTATATTAAACTGGTGTAGGTATAGACCTCAAGTGACATAACACAAAGACCATGTGAATATATATATTTCTACATAGTCATGTTGTTTTGCATTTACTATTGTGACATTACTCCGTAATTGCGACATACTGACCGCAAGTCGGGATCATCGTCTCAGAGAAAGTATGTCGCAATTTTTATGTGGAAACAACATTCAGTTTCTTTTCTTCTCCTCATGGCTCATTGACCGTGCCAGGCAGACGACGAGCCATGATGACATCACATACAAGGTCTACTACGGCTACCGCGCTATGCTACGCGGACGGACAACTACACACAGATGGCGGCGCGTACCTGCGAGGGCCTTGATGCGCGAGCGCTCGAAGAGGCGCGCCGAGCTGTTCTCGTTGTCCCAGTCGGTCTCGGCGGCCAGGTCCCAGCGGTTGTTGATGTCATTGTACTGCTGCTGTATCTCCAGGCTGTCGAAGTCGGTGGGAGAGATGGTGCTCATGGTGCCGGGGCTGGGGGAAAAACCATCCAAAACCTGAGTCACGAAACACACACAAACAGAGAAATATTAGGGGGGCTTGAGGTTAAAGTGGCAATCTCTCATCTATCAAAGATTTCCATTCAGTTCTCTTGGCGACACCTATGGCGACAAGCGGTAATAGCAGGTGTGTTGCCACAACACACCTGCTATGCTCACGCTCGCTCGCCCCATTTCAGTGGCGCAAATTTTGTGTCGTTCGCACGAAAAATGGATGCCTACACGTTAGGCTGTGCGTGGATATTGGGGATCGAACGCAGTATATCATCTGGGAGTCGAACACCCTAGTCACTACACTATCCTTCCCCTGTCTAAATATAGCACGGGGGTGACGGCCCTTCAGATGGTTAATGGAACAACTTCGTCTAATCATACAATCTTGTCCTGCCGATCGTATATAACTGTCGAGTCAATCTTAGTTTAGATAGCACCTTTCATACACTAGCATCTGAATAGTGCTTCACCCAGAACGAGCAGCTCAGGCTACCTCCTGTCCTCAAATTTCTCGTTTGATATAGTCAAATGAGGCAACGAACAATGCAAATAGAGCTCTGGGAAGTATAATTGATATGCTGTGTCAAATTTGAATCAGGTCAACTTTATTTGTATAGCCATTCATCACAATTACAGATAAAGTTTACCAGAAAAGGCTGTTCAGTTCTTAGCC